TCTCAAAAAAAAAAAAAAAAAAAAATACAACCATATGCCACATAATGACTTTCAATCAACAATGGACCACATATAAGACAGTGGCCCTATAAGATTATAATGGAGCTGAAAAACTCCTATCACCTAGTGATGTTGTAGTCATCCAAATGTTGCAGCACAATGCATTACTCACGTGTTCGTGGTGATGCTGGTGTAAACAAACCTACTGTGCTGCCAATAGGATAAAAATATAGGAATACAATTATGTACAGTACATAATATTTAACAATGGTAATAAACAACTACCTTACTAGTTTATGTATTTACTATACTATACATTTTATGTATTTGTCTTAGTTTTTAATGAAAAGACTTAAAAAGTAAAAAAAAAAAATTTAAAAATTTAAAAATTTAAAAATAGACATGGGGGGGCCACTTGTAAGCCTAGCACTCTGGGAGGCCCAGGTGGGAGGATTGCTTGAGCTCAGGAGTTGGAGACCAGCCTGAGCAAGAGGGAGACTCTGTCTCTACTAAAAATAGAAAAAAAAAATGGCTGGGCATGGTGGCACATTCCTGTAGTCCCAGCTACTTGGGAGGCTGAGGCAGGAAGATCTCTTGAGCCAGGAGTTTGAGGTTGCTGTGAGCTAGGCTAACGCCACGGCACTCTAGCCAGGGCGACAGAGTGAAACCCTGTCTCAAAAAAATAAAAAAATGAAATAAAAATAAAAATAGAAGAAAGTATTTTCGTGCAGTTGTACAATGTGTTTGTGTTTTAAGCTAAATGTTATTGCAAAAGTGCCCCAAAAATGTTTAAAACTTAAAAAGTTTATGAAGTAAGAAGTTACAGTAAGCCAAGGTTAATTTATTATTGAAGAAAGAAAACATTTTTTATTTTTTTTTTTTTAGAGATGGTGTCTCACTATGTTCCCAGGCTGGAGTGCAGCGGCTATTCACAGGCATAATCAGAGTATACGACAGCCTCTAACTCCTAGGCTTAAGTTATCCTCCTGCTTTAGCCTCCCAAGTAACTGGGAATATAGGATGTACCACTGTGCCTGGCTAGAAAAATATTTTTTAAAATAAATTTAGTGTAGCCTAAGTGTGCAGTGTTTCTATATAAAGTCTATAGTAGTGTACAGTAATGTCCTACGTAGGCCTTTCACACTCGCTCACTGATTCACCCAGAACAACTTCCATCTCTGCAAGCTCCACTCATAGTAAGTACTCTATATAGGTATATCTTTTCTCTTATATATCTTTTATAGTGTATTTTTACTGTACCTTTTCTATGTTTAGATACACAAAGACTTACCATTGTGTTACACTGCCTACAGTATTCAGTACAGTTAAGATGCTGCACAGGCTTCCAGCCCAGGAGCCACAGGACATTCCATACAGCCTAGGTGTGTAGTAGGTTCGTGTAAGTACATTCTGCGATGCTTGTACGATGACAAAAATCACCTAGCGATGCAGTTCTCAGACTGTCCCCCTCATTAAATGACACAGGACTATATATTACAATGCATTTCCCATTTCTTTTTTAATTTTAAATGTGGCTACTAGAAAATATAAAGTTAGACACGTGGCTTTACAGTTTATTTCTATTGGATAACTCAAGCTTAGAACACGCCTAGCATTAGAATCATCATTATAAGTTTGGCTTTTATTCCACAAACAAGCCTACTGCATGTGTGGGAAGTTGTGGGGGATACTGCGAGGAAAGAGAGAGGCCCCATCTCTCGGGAAGTTACAACTTAGTGGGGGAAATACATGCAGCTTTACAGTGGTGATGAGAAGCGTTATTTTAACCTATTTATTTCTCCTGCTTGGTGGAATGAAAGGGGTATTGCAAACAGCCTCCAAGGTTAACTTGGCTGGCACCTGCAGCCTGAGCAGGGAGAAAAAGGCTCTGCCGTCGCCACCGCCAGGAAGGACGGGGGCCTCCGCTGTGCACAGCGTACATGGTTTCTCTCCACCGAGACTTCCAGGAACTGCCCTTAACTGGGAGGCGGCGTCATCAGTAGCCTTGCCCCAGACCTTGGGCCCTGGCCTGGCTAATACTAACACCCACATCGGACCCCCAGATTGCCAGCCCCCAGGATGCTAGGACTCTCGTCAGTGCCCCCAGGCTCCCTGGGCCTCCCCACCGAACGCCTCCGTCTGGATTCCACCGCTCCCAAACTCCCTCGGTGCATTCCTCAGTCCCCCAAACTCCTTTGCCTCACCAGAACCTCCCCCCGCCGTCCCTCTTCTAAGACCCGGCAAGCTCTCCTCGGTCCCGGGACTCCCCCGAAGTCCCCTAGTCCCATCTCTGGGGTCCCCCCGAACCTCTTAGGCCTCCCGAGATTCCTCGGTTCCCCGAACTGTCCTCAGACCCCAACTCCCCTCAGCCCCTCCCTGGACCCACTCCACACGCCCCAGTCGTGCCCCAGACGCCCCCGCGGCCTAGTCCCCCCAACTTCCCACAGCCCTCAGACGCCCCTCGGCCGACCCCCGCGAAACTCCTGGGCCCAACCTCGCGCGCGGCCTCCCTCATCGCCCGGGCCTCGGCGCCCCGCGCCCCGGCCCACCTGCGCGCCCAGCTGGTTCAGCTGCTGCATGTCGCCGCCCACGGCCTCGGGCACGGGGTCCTGCGTGCAGTGCAGGCGGCCCATGCTGCCCGCCCCGGTCCCGCCGGCCCCGCCGCGGCAGCCGCCCCGCTCAGCTTCCTCAGCCGCCGCCGCCCGCCTGGCCGCGCGTCCGCAGCCGCACTTTCGCCACAGCCGCGCCGCGCACCGCCGGCCGGGGGCGCCCTCGCCGTGCCGCGGACACGCGCGGCCGCCGGGCTTCGTGGGGGGCTGAGGGGCAGCACAGACCCCCGCTGGGTGACCCCTGGGCATAGCGCTTGGCCTCTCTGAGCCTCAGTTTCGCTAGCTGTAAAAACGATACCTGGGGTGGCTGCTTAAATGACTTAATCCTCCAAAACCGTTTGGAGCAGAGCCTGGCACGCAGGTCTTCAATCAATGGCTAGCTGCCAGTATTGTTGTCATCGTTGTTATTATGCATTCAGCAAATATTTATTGCACGCCTACCAAATGCCAGGCTCTGGGGACAGGGAAGGGAACAAGGCAGGCCAGGGTGGCCCTCGGAGGGCTGACGGCAAAGCAAGACACTAAGTTCCAAACTTGGGCGGGCATCATCATCACCTAGTATAATACCCATTGCTGGGCCCCGCCCCCAGACTACCTGATTAGAAAGTCCTGGGGTGGAGTCTGAGAATTTGCATTTCCCACAAGTTCCTAGGGACCACACTTTGAGAACCTCTGGAGTGGAGGAAACTGACCCACCAAAGGTTATTCAAAATAGTGCAAGGGCTGTGACTGTGCGGGGCAGGGCGACGGCGAGGTGGGTGAGGGGACGTTATTGAGACAGTGATCAGCCCCTCAAACATTTTAACTCCCATGATTTCTCTTGCTAGGGACCCCCACGGTCCCCAGGTATTATCCTGTTTGCCATTGGACATATGAGAAAATGGAGGCATGCTCCCCAGAGTCTGGAACTGACCCCCAAGAGCTTCACTAAGCCCTAAGTCCAGCCTCCAGGATGGGGTGGGAGGCGCTGGAATGGGGGAGGGAGCAGGGACGTGAATGGAAAGGGTTGGCTGGCCTCCCCCACCAGGCTTTTTTCTCTACTCTTTCCTAAAAATTCCTTCTGGAAGGATATGAGCAAAATGTCTTGTACCAAGAGGCTAAGCCCATCCTCTTTGGTCATTATTTTCGTACATACATTCATTCAACAAATACTGAGTGCCTGCTTTGAGGCAGATACCATGATAGGTGGTGGGAACCCCATGGTGACAAAACCAAATGCAGTGCCTGGCCTCTGAGAAGTCGGAGTTTACCCAGGGAGGCAGACATGTGTGGGTGAAATTAACTGATGCCAAGAGGCACAAGGTGCTTCGAGAATGTATACAGGTGGCAGTCCAAGTCAGGAGTGCCTGGAGGAGAGTAAACCTTCAGGTTACAGACAGCGACTGAACTCAGAGGCCCTAGTCACTGCCCAAAATATTTTTAACCTTTGAAAAAAGATCCCTCTCAGGGTATTACATTTATCAATATCTTTAAGTGTTAAATCAACTTTGTTTAGATATAACTTATATACAATAAAATGCACCTATTTTAAGTTTTTTTTTTTTTTAATTTTTGACTTTTTTTTAACGTCCTTAAGAAAACCAGTGGATTTCTTTAATTTCTGCTCCAACAGTAACTGATGCTGAGTCACTCCATAAATACTGTATTTGTGGAACTGAATTAGCCTGTGTGACAGAAAATGGAGAAAAGGAAAGATATTCACTTGAAACTGCCACCAAACAATGTAGTAACACAGCCACTATCTTGTTTTCCAGTCTTTTTCCACATCGCAGGTCACCGGGGTTTCTGTGATTTGTTCTGTTTTTACACATTCAGGACTCCCCCACTCCACCAAGCTATGTAATCCCTGATACTCCCGGTGTGGTCCTTGGACCAGCAGCATAAGCAGCAGCTGGGAGCTTGTTAAAAATGCAGACTCTTGGGCCCACCAGACCTGCTGATTCAGGATCTGCATTTTAACAATCCCCAGGTGATTTGTGGGCACATTAAAGTTGGAAGTACAAACAATAACAACCATTTTTAAGTGACCACCATATGCAGGGCTTGATTTTAAGCACCTGAATACCCACCATGTATAATGATAATGATGCTTTGCATTATCTACCTATTGTCACTTATATTACTTCTTCTTCTAATTTTTTTTTTTTTGGTGCCAAAACCCAGAAATGAGCCATCATTTCTATTTTCATGTTTATCACATTGTGTTATTGCTTTGGTATACACATCTGTCTCCCCCACTTACTAATTATGTTGTCTTGGGCAAATTACTAACCTTTTGGTGCTTCTATTTTTTTTTCATTTATAGAATGGAGACAATAACAAAACCTACTGGAAAAGATGAAATGAGACAATGCTTGCAAATCACTTAACACAGCTACTAGCCCACAGTAAATGCTCAGTAACTGCTTGTTATTATTATTTCAATTTTTCAATCTTATAAAAAGAATATGGCAATAAACATTTCTGTACACAATCCTTTTTCCACATCTGATTATTTCTGCAGGAGAAATTTTTAGGAAGGTCAAGGAATATTATGTTCAGACTTTCTGGGTTCTAAATATGACATGGGGGGAGGGGATGAAGAGAGGCTGGTTAACAGGTACAAACATATAGTTAGATGGAAGGAATAAGTTCTAAAGTTTGATAGCAGAGCAGGGTGACTCTCCTTAACAATAATGTATTGTATATTTCAAAACAGCTAGAAGAGAAGACTTGAAATATCCCCAACATACGGAAATGAGAAATACTCTAGGCGACGGATATCCTAAATAATCTGACTTGATCATGACACATTCTCTGTATGTCACAAAATATCACATGTACCCAGTAAATATGTACAAAAATTATGTCAATAAAAATCTTAAAAATATCACAAGGATGGATGAACTTGCAAGGCAGACTAGATAATTACCCATAACCAGTCTCTCTGAGAATACCCAGAAATTAGCATTTTAGCCTAAACAGGGACCTGGTGTATTTTCCTGCTCTCCTTCTAACCCACATCCCCTACAACCCAAAGAAGAAGACACCCAGGTCCTCTAAAAGAAATCTCACAGTCCCAGACAATGCCATTTGTGGCTTCAATGATAAAATGCTACCGAAACATCATCACAAAAGGCTGTGTAATATTCTACTGAGCGAGAATATAGTAATGCCCACAACTAATCCCTGTGGCTGCCCCATGATTTTTCTCTTTTATCAAGAACTTTGCAACTAATAAAGCAATAGATTAAAAAAAAAAAAGTCTTTCCAAAGTTATCCTTCACAATCCACTTTCAGAGGAAGGAAGAAGCGGTGATTACTGTTAATGCGATAACTTTGTAGCAGGAAATGCAGGCCCGGGCCAGGCCTCCCTTCTAGAGAAACTCCCGCCCCCAAGTCAGCCTTAATGAGGGACCCCGCTCCCTTCATTCACTTTAAAATGTCCCTGTGGAGGGCTACTCTGTCCCCACACCCCTACCTCCTCCCCCACCCCTGCAAATGAAAGGAGTTCATTAAGAAGTAGTTTCTCAGGCAGGGAGGATTCCTGCTGGGAATTTCACCAAGGGGCCAGGTTTTCCCTAGGAGAAAGGTCTGACCCTTCACACTCTGAAATGGCAAAGGGCATTTTTTAAATTAAACTTTTAATTTTGAGATAATTCTAGATTCACATACAGTTGTACAATATAATACAGAGAGATCCCTTGTGCCTTTTACCCAGTTTTCCTGCATGCACAGATCCCACGGTATCAAAACCAGGATATTGACATCAATACAGTCAAAATATAGAACTTTTCCATCACTGCAAGGATGCCATGTTGCCAAAGGACAAGCCCCAGGTCCTCTTTGTACCAGAAGCTAGGAAAAAAACAATAGTATGGACATTTTCATGTTTCTATTATTATCCTCATGGTAATCTTCAATATTAGCTCCTTCGTTATAAAAGCACATAAGAAAAATGTAAAAATACAGTTGGCCTAGATTCTTGACATCTATGTCATAAAAGTTATTGACAAAGGAAGGCTGGGAAATTGTTCCAGAGTGAACAAAACTAAAAAAGACAAGATCATTAAATGCAGTGTGTGATCCTGGATGGAGGTAAACATTTGCCATAAAAGACATGACACTAAGAAATAGTTAAAATGGGAGCTGGACACAGTGGCCTGTGCCTGTAGTCCCAGCTACTCTGGAGGCTGAGGCAGGAGGATCGTTCAGCCCAGGAATTCAAGGCCTGGGCAACATATGGAGACCCTGTCTCTAAAAAATAAAAATAATAATAATCAAAAAGAAATAGTTAAAATGGTAAATGTTATGTGCTTTCGTTAAACCACAGTTTTTTTTAAAAAGGCATTATTGAGAACAATAATTTGAACATGGACCATAGATTAGGTCATAACATTGTATTGATGTTCAATATCCTGAATTTGATAATTGTATTTTGGTTATGGGAGAATGTCTTTGTTCTTAAGAAATACATGCTGGTAAAGGGGCATAGATGGTTCAGAAAACAAAATGAGCCAACGTATGGAGTGATGGAGAGATTATTCAGTACTTTTCAAATTGGCTCTGAGCTTGCTGGAAGGAAGCCAGAGGGAGAGGATTTTTTCTTATCCTTCCACAGGTAAATTAATGTAGATACTTCTCTATTGTTGGGCTAATAGGACAGTTTTAGTTCTCTGATTTCTGTGTAGGATGTGGTGATGAACTTGTTTGCCTGTTCAAAAATTTCCCTCCAAATCCCAAGATTTTTTTGCTGAGATAAGTTTTAGAAGTAGAATTCCTTCCTGATGTAAAGTTTAAGCCTTTTTAAGATCCTTGCACCTAAGCTCCAATGGACATTTAAGCTGTCCTTTCTAGAAATTTGCTTTTTAAAGGGCCCTTTGGCAGTTCCTACTTCGAGGGTGGGGGTGATAATGCCTCCACCTTTTGGGAATCTCACCCTTCATTTCAAATTCATGGTAGGAATCACTTTGCCTGAGAATCTGCTTTGTTTTTCTCTGCAGAACAATTATAAAGTGAATGCCTGGCCTGCCCCGATTTAGGACTGCAATGCATATCTCTGCTGGGTGCTGTGAGCACAACC